CCTCCGGAAGTAAACCGGAACTGCCCCCGCTGAGGTCATTTCTATGGATGAGATCTCGCTCTGCCCCGGATGGAAAAGCTGGCGGACAGGAAGTGAGGGTTGTCAGGGAGAGCGCTCCGGTTTTTCCTCACTCCACCCTTTGCTTCTACAGGTTCACTCTGCGTATGTGCTCTGTACGCGTGCGTTAAGTGCCGTCTAGTCGCTTCCGATTTATGGCGGCTCCACGGATTAGCGGTTCTCCAAAACGTCCTGGCATTAACCGCCTTGATCAGGTCTGGAGAACTGAGGGCTGTGGCTTCCTTGATTGAGTCTGTCCATCTCATTTTGAGTTTTCCTCTTCTCCTGCTGCCTTCAAATTTTCATACCCTTATTGCCTTTTCCCCCCAGTGACTCTTGTCTTCTCATAATATGACCAGAGTACGATAGTCACAGTTTAGTCGTTTTAGCTTCAAAGAGAGTACAGGCTTGATTTGATCTAGAACCCACTGATTTGTCTCGTTTTGTGGTCCATGGTACCCATAAAACTCTTCCAACACCACATTTCAAAGGAATCTTTCTCCTGTCAGCTTTCACACCCATACATAATAACCAGGGTGTGAATTAACTTGACCTTGATCACCAGCAACACATCCCTACACTTACGAATCTCTTCTAGCTCCTTCAAGGCTGCCCTTCCCAGTCTCAATCTCCTGATTTCTTAGTTGCAGTCTCCCTTTTGGTTGGTATTGGAGTCAACGAATAGGAAATCTTGAACAATTTTAATTTCTTAATTGTCTGCCTTGAAGTTGTGAAATCCCCCAGTAATCATTACTTTTGTCTTCTTGATGTTCAGCTTTAATGTTGCTTTGGCACTTTCTGCTTTAAACTTCAGCAGTAGTTGTTTCAAGTCTTCACTATTTTCTGCCAGTGATGTGGTGTCATCTGCATATTTCAAAAAGTTAATGCTCTTTCCAGTAGTTTTCACTCCACCTGCATCTAAATCTAATCCAGTTTTCCTTATGATATGGTTCTGCATATAGATTGAAGAGACAGGAAATAAAATACATCCTTTTCTGACACCTTTGCCAATTGGAAACCATTCTGTTTCTCCATATTGAGTGCAGGGGGTTGGACTAGATGACCTGCAAGGTCCCTTCCAACATTCTATGATTCTATGATATTCTGTCCCAACAGTAGCCTCTTGTCCAGAGTATAGGTTGCACATCAAAACAATCAGATGCTGCAGCACTTCTGTTAAAACCAATCATAGCTTTTCATGATCCACACAGTCAAAAGCTTTGTGGTAATCTAAGAAACACAAGCTGATTTTCTTCTGAAATTCTCTCATATGGTCCAGTAACCAACATAAATTTGAACTACGGTGTCTAGTGCCTCTTCCTTTTCTGAATCCAGCTTGAACATCTGGCATTTCTGACTCCATATATGCTAACATTCTCTGTTATAAGATTTTAAGCACCACTTTACTCATCTGAGAAATTAACAGGACCGTCTGATAATTGCTACATTCTTTCACATCTTTTTGGAATTGGAATGTAAACTTTGTTTCAAGTCTGTGGGCCGCAGTTTTCTTTTCCATATTTGCTGGCACAATCTTACAAAGGTGGAAGAAGAGAAGAGATTGGACTTATATCCTGCCCTTCACTCAGAGTCTCAGGGCGGCTTACAAACTCCTTTCCCTTCCCCTCCCCACAACAGACAGCCAGGTGGCAACCACTGCCAAATCGGCCTTTTACCATCTTCGGCTGATCCGGCAGTTGGTCCCTTTCCTCGACCTGGCTACAGTGATCCATGTGACGGTCACCTCGAGGCTAGACTACTGCAACGCTCTCTACATGGGACTGCCTCTGTCGCAAATCCGGACGCTGCAGCTAGTGCAGAATGCTGTGGCCAGGTTGCTGATGGGCCTCCTGAGGTGTGAGCACATCTGGCCTGTGCTGAAAGCGCTGCACTGTGTCATGCCTGCCTCTGACGTGGCTACAGAAGCAGAGCCTGACAGCCAGGAACAAGTGGACTTGGCACCTTTAACTGAGGAAAATGTAAGTCCTGAGGAGAATAGCACCCCCAGGAGACACCTGCGTCTGATCAGGCACTGCCTGGCCCAAGTGGATCACCCCCCGAATCTCCCCCACCTGTTAACCGGCTCAGAAACCAAAGACGACAGGAGCTGAATGAAAGAAGGAAGGCTGCACGCATGCGCGGTCGACGCTCATTCAGCCCTGAGTTTTGACAGCAGCCTGGACCTTGTTTCCAGGAGCTAATTAATTAATGAGCCAGCACGCTATTTCAACAGACCTGGTGCTTTGAGCAATTCGTGCTGGCAACTTCGGTTGACAGAACCAGGCACTCTGTGTGAGCTTGCTTCGGATCCTTTGATCTCTTGGCAGTTAGTCACTCGGCTTTGGAACTCTGGCTTCTTGACCCTCGGCATCGTGTTTTGACTACGGCTTCGGCTCAGCGTTTATCTGACTTCACCTGATTTATGGACTCTGACCTCTGGTACGTTTGACTCTGGCTGTGTGAATTGCTTAGGACTTGTTTAAAGGTTTTCCTGACTGAACTCCTTGGCTGAATCTCGGACTGCTTATTGAACTTGCTTTGATTAATCTGCGCTCCCTGGCTCTGTCACGACACACTGGCTGCCAATAGCATACCGGATTCGCTTCAAAGTGCTGGTCCTTACCTTTAAAGCCCTATATGGCCAGGGTCCGGCATACCTTTCTCCACATATGCCCCAAAGAGCACTTCATGCGGGGTCACAACTCCGTCTGGTGACCCCCGGCCCTAGGGAGACTAGGCTTGCTACAACTAGAGCCAGGTCCTTTTCAGTGGCAGCTCCTACCTGGTGGAATGAGCTACGGAATGAGATCAGGGCCCTGCGGGACCTTTCACAGTTCTGCAGGGCCTGCAAGATGGAGCTCTTCTGCCAGGCTTTTGGGTAGGAGCCGCCACTACTACCACCACCAATGATATTGGTACCAATGGGGTAAGAGGACAGCCCTATGAATATCAAACCGTGACAGCCACTGGATGGGGATGAGTAACATCTACGGGGCATTATCCTCCTTGTTGAAGGAGTATCGTTGTTTTATAACATTTCTGAGATACCATCTTGTTATATTAAGAGACTGAAACTAGTGAGCACTATTGATTGTCTTGTTTTTATTGTTTTATATATAGGCACATGGTGCCCTTTGTAAGCCACCTTGAGCCCGTTCGCGGGGAGGGCGGGGTAGAAATACAATAATAAATAATAAATAATAAATAAATAAATAATTTACCAGTCATGAAGAAAGAAGTCCACGGAAACAGCAAGACCAGCGTTTCGTGGTGAGAAGACACCCAACAAAGGGGGAGGGGGTTGCAAGAGGATCCAAGTCACACACACTGCACCAGTGGCTGAGTGCTCTTGATATAGGGCAAAATGCACCCTGGGGTAAGCTGATGTATTTGCCCGAAAAACAATAACTCGATGGAGTTTTCTAAGGTGGACCAAAAGGTGAGGGAAAAGCTTGATGATCCTGCAAGTACCAGATGGGCAAGCTAATAGGTTTGGTGAATTGAATTAAAAGTTGATTAAGTAGCACTTAATTAAGGTAAGTGAGTGCAGAGGAAGTAAGGTTGGACTTGACTAGATTAGTCCAAGGTGAATTAAAGATCCTGATGGACCCATTATCCATCTCTCAGGGCCATGGAGAGGGCAGTAGACAGCCTCACCTTCCAAAATATTTGCCCAGGCTTGTTCCTGACTGACATCCATTCTGTTTCATTTTGGGGCCAGGCAGTATCCTGTACTTATGATTTTTGAGGTGGGGAGGAAAAGAAGAGGAGTAGTAGTTGGTTTTATACCCCACCCTTCACTACCCAAAGGAGTCATGGAGTGGCTTACAATTACCTTCCCTTCCTCTCCCAGCAACAGACACCTTGTGAGGTAGGTGGGGCTGAGAGAGCTGTGACTGACCCAGGGTCACCCAGCTGGCTTCATGTGGAGGAGTGGGGATATCAAATCTGGTTCTCCAGATTAGAGTCCTGCCGCTCTTACCAGTACACCAAACTGGTGTTTCTGTCTCTATAAGCTATAAACTACCCCTCAGTGAGAAGAAAGTTCTGACTGCTGACCCTATACTGAATCAGATCATTAGTCCATCACAGTCATCATGGTCTATTCAGATTGGCAGTGGCTGTCCAGGGTCTGAGGAAGAAGTCTTTCAAATCCTCCTCTACCAGATACTTTAATGAGATGCCAGAGATGGAACCTGGGACCTTTTGCATGCCAAGCAGATGCCCAACCGCTGAACCAAAATCAACTCAGAATACAGTGAGAGGTTGGTGGGTTTTTTTTAATGAACTGTTATAAAAGGAATTTCAAATAAATACCTGTTATCATGTGCCTTTTATTTATGGTGCAGCAATGTTTAAAGTATACAGAACAAAGTTTGAGTCCAGTGGCACCTTAAGACCAACAAAGTTTTATTCTGGGTCTAAGCTTTTAAGTTGTTGTGATCTACCCTGAGCCCATTTGTGGGGAGGGCGAAATATAAACTTGAAAAATAAATAAGCTCCCTCCTGAAAGTCTACCTTTTGCAGGCATTGCTTCCATATACCCAGGAATTTGATATGCTAGAGCTGGCCAACCCTACCGAGTGCTCATGTGTACCACATTGGGGACCCATTGCTTTAGGGTATCAGGCTGACCGGCAGTGTTCCCTCTAAGCTGAGTTAGTGTGAGTTAGCTCACAGTTTTTTAGCCTCCGGCTCACTGATTTTTGTCTTAGCTCAGGAAGGATGGCTCCAGAGCAAACTGATTTATGCAGCAGCCAAATCGCTCGCTCACAACTTTAATGCCAGTAGCTCACAACGTAGAATTTTTTCTCACAAGACTCCAGAGCTTAGAGGGAGCATTGCTGACCGGGGGCACAGGGCAGAAGGCTAATGTGGTGTAGCAGTTAGAGTGTC